TCTACTGTTCAATATTTAAGTGTTCTTTTTTGTTTGATAAACTCAATATTTAAGCGTTATATCAGTCATTCTTTTACTAATTATTTTCCTTATAAAAACCAATTTCAATTGCTTTACAGTAATTCATGCATTATAATTTTTTGACCAAAAGAATTCATGTATCATAATTTAATAATAGATTAAAGGCCATTAATGCCTTTCAAGGATTCACTTAAGAACATTAGGCATCCTTAATTCCATTTAGTTCAATCCTCCCTCAAACGCTTAAAAGTGAAGCAGTCCCTAACCCTTGCTATAAAAAAGGAACCGTACTAAAATCTAAAGATAAAGGATATCTCATAATCTAATAAAGTTCTTTAGCAGATACAATAACTACAAGAAATTTAAAGTAAGAACATGTACCAAAGACATCTAAAGTATTGTTTGGTTGGGGAAGGAGAGGGGAAATTTTTAAACTTTCCCCTCTCCTCCCCTCCAAAACCTCCCCCCAAATTGAGGGAAGCCCCCCTCCCTTTCTTTCCCCTCTCCTTAAACCAAACAGAGTCTAAATCATATCATTACTAACTCACCAATGTTGATGTGAGGGTAAAAAGCATAATTCTATATAATTTTTTTATCTTATTTTTTAATATTTCTTAATAATTTTATAATATCAGAAGAAAAAAATATTTGACATGATAATTATGCATTTTACATGAGTCTGGTTTAGTTAGGGAAGAAAAAGTGAGTTTGGTTAACGAGAGGGGGAGAGTGATAGGTAGTCATTTTAATTACCTTGATTTTATATGCATTTTTGCCCTTTTATTTATTTAATAATACACAAATAAGGTTAAATAAGAATAAAATACCTCACTTGTTGGTTTTGTGTTTGTTTGCATGGAAAAGGAGCAAAAGCATCCTAAATTGGGCCAGAAAAGTGATGAATCTTATAGAAGGCCCAATAACCCAGCCCACAACGTATTTGTTAATGAATAAAATCAGTGAAAGAAGCACCTGTATGTGAACACAAATAGGGAAGTACGGGGTGTTCATAAGATGAGATAAGATTGAGATACTCTTATTTTATATCTTGTCTTGAAAAGTTATTAGGGTTAAATTTTTGTCTTGTGTTTCATTTGGTCCTAATTATTTTCGAGGCGGGACGAAATCAGGTCAATCGAAATCGATACAAGTTGAATACTGCTAGACATGTCACCCTCGCCCATGCAGGCAATTAATAGCGTTTGGTTTGTGTTCATCACTTGAGGAGCATCTGGGTGTGGACTCAGATTTTTAATTTAGACAGTTTAAATTTTAATATTTTTATTTTATATTTATAATAAAAAAATTATAAATTTTAATAAATTTATCTTATTATTAATATGCACAATACGGATTTAATTTAGATAACTCAATTTAATAATAATTTTTTATAATTTGACTCTCCAAATATATTATGGACAGTTTAAATTTAATAATAATTTTTTTAAAATTTTTATTTTATTAAATATAACATTAAAAATAAAAATAAAGATAATATTTAAATTGAGACTTTTAAAAAAAATTAAGAAAAAGTTGTAAGTTGAAAATTTTAAATTCAGACTATCTAGAATATAGTTAGATAATTAATTTATAAAAATTATAAAAAAATTTTAATATTAAATTAAATTATCTACATTAAATTTATATTGTTGATATTAATAATAAGATAGGTTTATTAAAATTTTATAAATTTTTATGAGCACCGTGCAGCAGCGAAGCCGGACTCCAATTAATAAGGAATGTTAACTGTTCGCAGACGAACAAGTCGTAAGGCTTTTGTCAGTGTCCGATCGCGGATAAGAGCATTCTGGAGATACCAAAACTCTCCGTATCTATGTGTCCAAAACACAAATACAAATCAAAGCTAAGGGAATCCAGCAAATGGTGCACATTAAAGATGAGTTAAAGCCAGAACCCTATAATTAACGGGCTACGAGGTTCTAATATATCTTTTTCTAATGTTTTTTATAATATCTCAACTTTTAATTTTATTTTTTATTTGTCTTTAAAACATTGGTTTCTACATAAAATAAGAGACATTTGAATATCTTGATATCTCAAAATGATAAAGATTTGTATTTTTTATAATTTTTTTTAAATATCACAAATACACCCTTTTATTTTTTAAAATCATAAAAAAATATAAATTTTCACCATTTTGAGATATCAAGATATTTAAATGTTTTTTATTTTATGTAAAAGCTAATAATTTAAAAAAAAATAAAAATAAAATTAAAAAATTAAAATATTATAAGAGGTATTAAAGAAGGGCGCTTCTAACTCTTAAGTAACCTTCACACACAGATGTGTACGATGTGGTTGACATCTGTCCGTGGACAAGCCACTTTCAACAATCTCCTGCTCGCGGACGTCAAGACAAACGAAGAGATCTTCAACACTCATGTGTCTGCGAACGAGCACGTCTGTTCGAGGGTACATTATCTTAACATGGGCACAGGGCAGCATTTAATTTAAATTTTGAATTAGATGTGAGGACTATCAGATAAGATATGGCGAGATTTAGATCAATCTAAGTGTAATATCACCTTCTACAATCATATACTTAACCACATTATCTTCCGGTTATTATGATAATTAAGGAAATGGCCACCCTAGCAGCCATGCATGCCATGGTAAATAAAACTTAATAACGGTTATAAAAATAACTAATCTAATAGAAAAGGTAAGAGTTAATTTAGAGATCTATTATAGTTAAATAGTTTAAATCAAAGTAATTTGGATCTACTACAGTAGAAAATCTGAAAACTCAAAATTGACAATAAGATTCTTTGGAAATAATGGGATTCCAAGTTTAATAATGGACATAAACTTCTTAAAGCAAGAAAGCCAATATATGAGTTACAGAAATATGAAAGTATAAGATATTAATTAAAATTAAAAAACACTTGAAAATAGGGTTGATAGTGTCATTCCACAAATTCTAGACACATTCATCATGGCTCACAGGATGTTCATCACTATGCGTCCCTCGTTATACCATGGATTATGGTGCATTACATAGAACCACATCAGTGAATTTCTATCAATTGCATATGTGGGGGACAAACTTTTGGCATGCTCTAATTTTTGATCGAGCTCAATTGAAATGATCTAAATGTTCACACAAAATTTATTTAATATACTAGTTAATGAAATTAGTTTTATTTTAAAATAATATATATATCATGAAGTTGGATATCTGAAACCAAAACAACTACATCTTCATACTTAAACACTTTTAGGGTGTTCAAACTCCCAACCAAGTGTCTATAGCCCAAACCAACATTTAAATCACACTTAAGGGACTAAAGACAACTTGTACAATGTATCACAACATATCATAACATCAAGCAACCCATTTCAATTTTCAACTCCATATTTAACTAAAAATAAATAGGGGACCATAATTCACAGAAAAAGTAATAATCACACTTACAATAGTATTTTGATTTTACCTAAACAATAAAATTCACATAATACATCCTCTTACAACCAAATAATAAACATAATGAAAATGGTGCAAGTATGATAAAATGAACATTTTAGTTGGCAATATCATTTAAATTACACATATAAACTCAAAATAAACAAGCAGTACAACTAGAAAACTCAGTCTTGTGCCTTTGATGCTTCCCCTTTGCCCTATCATGAATTGGCTCTTATAATATGTTAATAAAAAAAGGTAAGTATAACCACTTTATAATCAAGATACTTCAAATCATGCACAAGTAGTCAATTAATCATAAGCATGCAAAGTAAACAAGATACACAATCATTCACATATTAAACATTCGTTTCATAATAATTAATAAATTGTACAACTAATAACCTCCTTCATGTCTTCCTCTTTTCTTCCAAGTCTAAGGGCTATGCTCATGTGAATGACCAATGGGTTTTTGAAGACATGATTATGACCCATGGGTTTTTAAATACACACTAAAAGGCCCAATGTTTTTGTGTCGGCATCTGAACGATTTCTATCTTCAAAATCATTTATTCTTGAGAAGTTTAATAATTAGCTAGATTTTGTATATATAGAAATTTTAATCGCCAAACAAGGATATTCCATTGAAAAAGAAACTGATCTAATTATATTAAGGAACATTTAATCACATGTGATCTGGAAAAAAACCATCATTAAAAAACGCAACTCAGTGACATGAGAACGCACAGATTCTCTGAAACTATTATTGTATATTCGTCAACCCTTTTTCTGTCATTATTGAAAAAGCTTAAGATGAAGATAGTTAAAAGAGCAAATTAATACCTAAAATGTTTTGGATCATATATTTATTTTTGATATAATGTTTCCTTCAACTTTTAAAAATAGGATTATCTAATTCCTATTTGAGCAAAAGTTTCGACCATTATTTAATTAAAAAATCCCAAAATGATCAAAAAAAATTATAGAAAATGACTCATAAATTTTCTTGGCCATATTTTTGGGTCATTGGCCATAATTTGAGTCCTTTACTATTTTTTTTTTGTTTTTTATTTTTGGTAATTTTTTGATCTTTTTTTATTAATGTCTAATTAACTAGTTAAAGTTAACTTTTGTTAATAATAGAGATTAAATTATGCCGTTTTTAAAAATTGAAGGGAAATATGACAAAAAAAAATAATTTAGTGTCCGAGATGCTCTTGAACCATAAAAATATGACATTAGGAATTGGCGTTTTAGATAGACAAAACCAATCTTCACAAATATTGTACTGAATACTTGCAGCTGCATTAACATCCCAGACAAACCATATTGAACAATGAAATGATATCAAATGGAATGATTTAAGAACTGAATTGAATTATTTTAGCAACAAGAAGGAGGAAAAGAAAATAAACTCTCATTCAAATAAAACAGAAACATAGTTTAAAAAAATATATATCACAGCCCATTGATCTATTACCTCAACAAGAAATCGTTCTCGGTATACAACATAAGCTTTTGGAACAGAGGACCCCAGCAACATAAAGTCGATCTATCAAACGATTAAACCATCGGAAAAATTTGTGTCTCCATGCCCTGATGAGAAAGAGAGAACCACAAACTCCCCAGAAGCCCGCTGCAAATCCAACTCCCATCCCGAGGTACAATGACTTAAAAAAAAGTCATCTTCATTCACTTCAGCCTGATTCGAGTTGTTAGTTTCTTCTTTCTTATTGCACCTCTTTGGAAGAGGATCTCCACAAAGTCCAAGATTGCCAACAAAGCTCCAAGAATCAAAACTTTGAATTTGAGTCCCCAGTGGGATTTGCCCAACAAAATTGTTGTATGATAGGTTCAGATAATCGAGAAAAGACAAGTTAGAAATGGCTGGAGGAATTTCTCCCGAAAGTTTATTGCAACTAAGATCAAAAGATTCTAAGTTTTTCATACCTCCAATTTCTCTGGGAATCTTTCCTCTTAAGTGGTTTCGAGACAAGTTTAAGGACCACATTTGAATCAAACTAAACAATTCCTTAGGAATCTCTCCAGAAAAGTTGTTCGCAGAAAGATCAATCAATCGCAATAATTCAACGTCTTTATAATCTAGTTCTCTTCCTTTAGCAGATAGCTTTATTACCTTCAACCACAACGATGCATTAATTGGATGCATGATGTTATTTAGACAACTAGGTATTGAGCCTGAAAGCGTATTATCAGCAAGATCAAGTATTGCCAAAGAAGAGAGATTGCACAAGTGTGTTGGAATGTTGCCTGTAAATTGGTTGGCCCTCAATTTGATAACTACCAAGTTTTGTGGCAGTGTAGGCAAAATTCCTGAAAATTTATTTCCTTCTAGAAGGAGATATTGCAAATTTTTCCAGTTTGACAAGTCTAATGAAACTTGCCAAGGAAATTGTTACTGCTCAAATCCAAGTATGCAAGAAAATTCAATGAAGCAATTGATGGAGGAACTTCACCAGTCAGCTTATTACTCCCCAAATCAAGGTATATTAATTGTTCCCAATATTTGGCCCAACAATTAGGAAGTGTTCCACCTAAATGATTATATGATAGGTCCAAAGTAGCCAAACTGTACTTTTCCCTACTAATAATCTTTGAATGGCACAACAATGGGAAAATAGATCCGGAGAAAGAGTTGTGAGATGCCCAAAAGTTGACAACATTTGATGATATATGTGGGAGGCCACCTGTGAAACTGTTATACTCTAAATTTATAAATGTTGAGTTTAGTGTCAAGGGGGACATGTCTCCACTCATCAAGTTGTATGATAGATTGACACTATCGATTCTTGCAACAAAGCTCCAAAACATATCTGTGTCATCTATGGTTGAAATTCCTGATCCAGAAATGTCTAGCCATCTCAGTGACCGTTGTGTATATAGCCAAGCGGGAATAGTAGGACCTAGACTTGTGTTTCTCAACTCAAAATATTCAAGTTGAAACGGCGGGACCCAGTTAGGATCAATGTGGAATTTGAAACCAGATGAACTCAAATATAATGATGTTAAGTTTGAGAGATTGGCAAAGTTCTTTTCTGAGAGAACACCCTTCAAGGAATTGTCTTCAATGCTTAAATGGTTCAAGTTATGGAGATGTCCAAGACTTTCTGGAAGACCCCCACTCAATTGATTGTTTGACAAATCCAAGAAAATTAACGAACAAAGATTCCAAGAGATGGTGGAATTGAACCATTGAATGAATTTTCACGGAGAAAAAGATGTTGTAACTGTTCATGTTGGCCTATCAAGTCTGGAATTGACCCCTTGATACTATTAAAGCTCAAGCTTAGTTGTTTTAGCTTTGGAAGCTTGAACAAAGACATTGGTACTTTTCCATAAAAACCATTGTGGCTGAGGTCAAGAACAGAGATGTCATTGGTTAAATTAAATAACGAATATGGTAATTCTGAGTTGAGAAGATTGAAAGAAAGATCAAGAGTTGAAAGAGATGTAAAGTTGACATAACTGATGCGTGGAAAATCTCTCAATCCACAACTTCTCAAGTGTAACTCAGATAGTGAAGGAAGCATAGCTACAAACTCGAGCCATTTGGTTTCATTTTCAATATCACAGTCATTCAGATCAAGATAATTTAAGGAAGAAAGTCCAGAAAGCCAACGAAGATCATTGATGGGCAAATCATAATTAGATGAAAAGTCAAGGTAACGTAAAGCAGCAGAAAGATTTGCTGATTGATCATCAGAAGAAGATCTAGAGGGCTGGCACGGTGGAATACTCACAGTTACAAATTCATTATGGTGCAAGTCCAAGTAGTTGAGAAATTCAAGTTGAAGTACTAGACATAGATTAATATCACCTTGTAATAGCTGACCAGCTAGATCAAGTTCTGTAACTCTGCCTGTAATGTTGTCACACTGAACTCCTATCCATGAACAACAATCTTCTTCTTCACTAGTCCATGAGAAGAGTCGATTTGCAGGATCTATCACTCCTTGTTTGAAGAGCAAAAGGAGTCTTCGATCTTTCTCATTGCAACGAACCGCCTTGTTTGTGTTACATATGATTTTGTTAAATTTTGTTGTGAATAGAAGCAACGGTATGATAATAAATGAAGTTTGAGAAGTGAAGCTAGAGTGAACACAATTAATGAAGCATTTTATTTGGTATATATAGTATGTCTTCAGGAAAATATTAGAAAAGCAGAGGCGAAACGGAAGTGTGAATGCCTAAACAGTATCATAATAATTTTCAAGTCTTACATCATAATCTTCGATTTATTTTCAACTTTTTCGGTCTTTTCAATGGAAAGGATCTCATAAAGGAATTCATTTTCAAATCGTTTGAACGCTTCAAAATATAGATATCGTCTAAACAACCACTGAATTTTTCAAGTACATTCCACTATATTTATCCTAATTTATAAAATATTTTCAAATAAAATTACATATACCAATAAAACTTATTAAATATAATTTCCAACTTTATTTTCTTAAATCAAAATATAAATTTTAAAAAATACCCTTCATTAAATACTACATTTGTGAAAGAATATAATTAGAAGGATTATTTTAGAAAAATATCATTAATAAAATCTTATTTTTTTATTAAAATATTTATATTTTGAAATGCCAAATCTCTCTGAAAGGCCAAAAGTGTCTCATAAATCTGGACAAAAGAAGTATTATATACAACAAAATCATTCATTTCAAATTCTACACATGAGGATATTATATGTGGAAATAATACAATAGATGAAATTTGTGAAGTGAAACTTGCTGGCCCGTTAATTAAATTGAATAGAATGAATTCAATGAAGAATGATCATGGTGTATTATAAGCTATGAAAATTATTGTAAAAGAAAGTGTTGCTTGAGAATATTATTGGAAAATCAAATGTAAATAAGCATTTAAATGCCCAAAACAATATCTATAACCACATCTCATTGTTTAAAGTCAAGTTTTCTAGTACATATGCAAACATTTTCACACATCATTTTCCATATTATATAACTGTCAAAAGATCGCTGACTTGTTTTTCATTCAGGTCATGGAGGATTTTTTATTCGATGAAGAAAGGGATCCGTTTAAATTATTGGAGCAAACAAATAAATAAGTGCAATCGCAAATATACAAAATTGACTTGTCCCAAAACACTTATATAATTAGTATTTATATTTAAAATCATTGTGTATATAATAAGGTTGATCAATTCAACCGTTGGTTGCGATTCTTTTTCAATCAAAGTGAATAATAATTTCGCAATATTTCCTTCCTCGTCCCAAAACGCCAATTCTGACTTGGCAAGCAAAACTAATGGATTGCTATACTCATTTGACCCTATTTATAAATTACTTTCAACATATTTCATCAGCATTAAAAAAATCTTAAAATTTTTTAATTTTGTTTTAAAATTTAAGAAATTCTCAACTTTACTTCTATTAAATATACATACTTCAATAACATATTTTCTCTCTCCAATATTCAATGGAGGGTAAAAAAAATTTATAATAAAATTTAATAACATGACTCATAAATAGGATTAAAGAGAGTATATGTAGTTTAATTTGTTTTTAGTTTTTATTTTGATCACTTAATAGCTCTGTCTAGGAAATGATAGATTGACTCTTTTTTTTCCTGTATTACTTAATTTGTTATCATCTCTATGGATTTTTCTTAGGAGAAAAGATGTTGCCAATTTCGTCAAACTTCATTTTCTACAAAATCGCATTAAGCAATCGCAGAATGCTGTTTCAAGTCTCTCAGTTCTTTTCCAGGAAACTTCATAACTTTCCAACTGTGATATCCTTCGAAGTTACATGACCAAATTGCTTGAATGCTTCGAAAATAATTTCCACAGTAAAAAAACACACACAAACACGCAATCAAAAGTTTCAGATATTAGGTTTGGCATGAATTAATCAATTGAATAAATTATTAGGTGTGGGTTTTTGGTTAGTGTCTTGAATAGTTATGATGAGATTTGAAGTTCTAAGTCTTGCTTTGTCATGCAGTTACAAACCAATTTCTAATAATAGGTGCGGTTTGACATTAATTGAATCGGTGTGGTTTAATTCTTGGGAAAATGTTGGCAAAAAAAAAAATCTTGAGAAAATGACAAAAAAAAGAGGACATAATTTAGATACTTAGTCTTATATATTTAATATAATTTTATCTAATCAAATCAAAATAAATAAATTTTACTGTGTTAATAATATTAATAATAAGAGTTTATTATACAATAAATAATTTGTAAAAAATTCACATATCTTAATTTAATTAAAAACAAACACCTTAAACATATAAACAACATATCCCTAAACTATGTCAGACAATAACCCAATCAAAGTAGTTATTTCCCAACGCATAATAGTTGTTGAGAGCAAATATGTTATTTTGTCAAAATTCAAAATGCCAGACAAACCTCCAAGGACAAAGTAATAATTATCACATTTTGTTGTACTATATTATTATTTTCATATTTCGGGGACATGTTTTTATCATTATCCCTTAATTTTCCTCTACTGTTCAATATTTAATTAAGTGTTCTGTTTGTTTGATAAACTCAATAGTTAAGCGTTATATCGGTCATTCTCTTATTAATTATTCACCTTATAAAGACCAATTTCGATTGCTTTACAGTAATTCATACATTATAATTTTTTGACCAAAAGTATTCATGTATTATAATTTAATAATAAATTGAAGGTCATTATTACCCTTCAATTATTCACTTAGACATATTTGGCATCCTAAACTTCACTTTAGTTCAATGGTTCCTCAAACATTTAAAGTGAAGCAGTTTAACTCTTGCCATAAAAAAGGAACTGTACGAAAGTCTAAAGATAAATAATATCTCATAATTCAAAAGGTCCCGTAGCAGCTAAAGATGCCTTCCACCATTACCAACCCACCAGTTTCGGTGTTTGCACGGATAATAACCATAACTCTATAAAAAATTTTGTTATTTTATTTTTTTAATATTATTAATAATTTTATAATATGAGAAGAAAAAACATTTGACATAGTAATTACGCATTTTACGGGATAAAAAAAAGTGAGTTTGGTTTAAGAAAGGGGAGAGTGATAAGTGGTCTTTTTTTTTTTTGGTTGCCTGAGGTAATCCTACAACCGACAACATGAGATTAATCCCCAAAGAATTAGAATATCATTTAAGAGGTTTTTCTTTTTCAAGTAATATTTTTCTATACTTGCTTCCAAAAATCAAATGATGGAATAATGCTTAATAGGCCCAAATTGTTATTATGTGTACCACATCTACTTGGCGATAAGTGGTCATTTTAATAACCGTGATTTTATATGTATTTTTTTCCCTTTTATTACCTGAATAATACACAAAATAAGCTTAAATAAGAATAAAATACCTCACTTGTTGGTTTCGTGTTTGTTTACAGAGAAAAGGAGCAAAATAACATAA